AATAGGTAATTATTTAAAAATAAATGATTGTGTGTGAGAGTGTTGCATGGAGATGACCATCAACTATCAACCATCAACATGTGGCTTGTCACATGGCCATTGGATATTCCAACATGTTGAGGATTAAACGAGGGCCTATGGCCACTCCACCATCAAAGCAGAATGAGCATTAATTCAATCGTGGAATTACTATGGACCTATTCCAAGGTCCCACTTTCTGCACTTTTACATGGGAAGAATCTTTCATCTTCTGCTCAAACTTCAACAGTAAAACGAGTCCAGTGCCAACAAATGAACAGAAAAACAACAATAATTTGAAGCTGAACAGAAAAACTTCAATACATACCACACGAAGAATACTATATATTTTTGAAAAAAAAAACTCAAGGGCATTTTTGTCTGTTACTTTTTCTGTATTTTGACTCAAGTGACAAATTGGTCTCCAAACTTTAAAATGCGACAATCCAGTATTCAAACTTTCAAAATGTGACAATCCAGTATCCGAACTTTCAAATGTGACAATTCAGTACTTGCCGTTATTTAGTCCGTTAATCAGCCGTTAAGTGACATTTGAAAAGTAAAAAATGCCCTTCAAATGCCATCTAATTCTCTTTATCAACTATCCAAACATTGACAAAAAACTGAACAGTCCCAAATCCTAGCATCTTTTATTCAAAAAAGTTGGTGATTGTTTAGAAGAATCTAGAATTTGGGACTGTTCATTTTATTGTCAATGTTTGGATGGTTGATAAAGAGAATTAGATGGCATTCTTAAGGCATTTTTGACTTTTCAAATGTCACTTAATGGCTGATTAACGGACTAGTTAACGACAGGTACTAGATTGTCACATTTTGAAAGTTCGAGTACTGGATTGTCATATTTTGAAAATTCAAGTACTGAATTGTCATATTTTGAAAATTTAGGTACTGAATTGTCGCATTTTAAAGTTCGAGGACCAAATTGTCACTTGAGCCAAAGTACAAGGTACTGATCAGGAATTTTCCCTAATATTATTATTAACGATTGGATTCTTTAAGAATGTATGACTAGTTAAGTAATTTTGGAAACCACAGGGCATATTTATGTAGGTTAATTAGTGAAACCACAGGCTACATTTAAGAAATTAATCCTAATTTATGGTGTCATTTCTCCACTGAATAAATTTTTTATTAAAAAAACATTTTAGTTCTATCATTTACCTAGTCGTGTTTCCTATGTGTAATATAAATTATTTATACTAATATGAGACTCAAATTTAGTGTAATTGATATGATTTCTCAGATTTAATGAGTTTTCCCGGCACATCCTGCCGTATCTATTTTTTTTTGGTAGCATATCCAATGCATATTCAAAGCTTATAATACATTTCTTATAATTGTATTTTCCAACACTCTTTGGGTCTGTTTGGTTTGTGGGAGTAGTAACGGAATGGTCCATTTTGATTCCAACTGTTTAGTTGGACATAATCAAAATCTCATTCCCATTCCTGGTGGAATAGTATTCCCCCATTTAAGGGAATGACCATTCCCTCACCTTCACCTTGGGAATGAGAATCTGTTCCAGCCAATTCTGATTCCAATTTTGGTTTCAGTCTGAACCAAAGTGAGGGGAATGGATCATTCCAATTCTGATTCCAAAGGATTCTGATTTTGACCGTGAACCAAACGGACCCTTTGTGTTTTCAATACCTTGAACCTTGGGCCTAACTTAAAAGTAAAAGTTATCTTAGGTCCCTCTAAAATAGGTGGTAGACATACATAGAGAAGAATTAGTGGTTGAGTTGGAACTTGACCATTAAGTAATAACACAATGTTTGTAGGCCCATCTTTTAAGGGTCTATTTGGTTCATAATCGGAATCGAAATTGGAATTGAAATCAAAATCCTTTGGAATTGGATTTGGAATGGTCTATTTCCATAGTATGATTGGTTTAGACAGGAATTGGAATCAGTTGGAATAGGATTTCATTCCTAAGGGATGGGGAGGAAATGTCCATTCCCTCAAATGGGGGAATACCATTCCACCAAGAATTTTAATGGGATTCCAATTCCATCCAACCAAATAGTTGGATTGGAATGGTCCATATTGATTCTGATTCCAGGCCCCTATTCCTGCAAACCAAACTGGCCCTAAATGATGTGACTAGATCCTATTAGACCCATTGAGAATTCTCTTACCATGATCTCATGTACCATGTTTGCAACACTTTGTGATGGAGGATTTTAACTTAGAGAGAGAGATACTATCTTCCCATTCTTAATGATGACAGCTATTTAGACCTGACAATTGGGTTGGGTGGAGTAATTGATAAATACTTGGTTTCAAAAATAATTAAAAAGAATTACAATTATTTATTTATCTTAATTTTAGCTTTTGTTAGTGAATACAACATTTTTTTATCCTTTAGGCTGTGTTTGGATTGATAGAAATAGGAGAGAGAAGGTTGCGGGAAAGCTTTTTAAAAGTATTCACAAAATTCCTTGAGATTTAAGAACTTTCCCTCAACTTTACCTTTCTTCTCTCTTTCTATCAAATTAAACACAACCTTAGGTTCCGATCCGATGTTCTTAGATTTTAACCATGAAAAGCTCAGATTTTTCTTTTTTTTTTTTTTCAATCTTGCACGATTTCAGTAATACTTTTGGTGCTTTAAGACCAGAACATTGTTTTCTGCTCCTTATGGCAACAAAAATCAGCCAAGCTTCAATAAATATTTCCTATACACATTAATCAGGAACGAGCAAGTCTGATACAGACCCATGTGAATACCGTAAAACGTCCTTAGATGGAAAAATAATTAAAGTGGTGCCGAGGGGGGAGGGGGAGAGCTAAGTTTCATTGTTGGTAAGTCATGCAAATCCATTACAGTAGCATCATTTATTCTGTAAATCCACAAAAGGCTCTTACCTTAATGAATGGCTATTTACTACTTTCATGGGGAAGGGCGTGAAAGAGAGAAGAATATCAAAAAGCGAGATAATTGACTAAAAATTGATGCTAATTCTTAAACTTCTAAAGGCTATGCTCATAAAAAATTGATCTGAAAAGCAAAAGGAGAAACAAGCACATGTAAATACATGTATAAACACCACCAATCCTTCTAGCATCCAGCGGCTTTCAAGAATTTGTCGTATGGACTTGATGGTGGCAACCTGAATGAATGTTGTTCTTGCTCACTTAAACAGCAGAGCTTATCCTGTCTCTGAACTTTCTCAAGAGCCATTGGTGTTAGATCCACGTCTGGAAGTTCCATCTTCTGAAATAGCATCCAACAAGAAAACTAGCCTATTATCCCAGGGTTAATTGATGCAAAAATTTAGTTGTCTGACACATGAATCATCATTTAGAATGCAAAAGGTCAAGGGAAACACACTTAATAACCAAATGGCATTTAGCATCTCTCAAGGCAAGAGAAGATGCATCGCATTGGAAGTATTGCAAATATCCTCTGGCAATATATGAAAAGGCACGGTGATAACCAGAAACCACTGGAAGAGGAAATGAATATTTCTTTTGTTTCTGTTATCAACACTTAAATCATGGATAAGAGCCATTGCCTGGTGCAAAAAAGATGCAGTATCCAGTTCAGTCCTCCCAAGATGTTAGCCAGGACCTAGCCTGTTTATACTAGAATTATGGATTACAATTCAGATATCTCAGAACAGGCCATTTAGATGACAGTTCCATGTTGATGGATGATATTAATAATCAAATGAATCAGATTCTCTGGAAAAGGCCATGATAAAATTTGCAATTCTACGATGTTCCCTAGAAAATGTGATTGATAGCTATGATCATCAAATCAACAACACTTTCTCACTATGACAAATTCAGGTGACAGTCTGGTCAACATAATCTACACAGACAAGACTTGACATAAATCTATTCAGTAATAAACCAGCAAAATGACTTTCTTAAACCTCACCGCTATCTTGTAGAGCAGAAGCTTTTCTGAAGCAATGGGCTTTTTTAATCATAACTTAATGCATAAGTGTAGCAACTAAACCATGATTTTTGATGTTTAATCTTACCATGTCTGAGAAAGTTGGCCCTTTCTTTTCAACTTCAGCACCTATCCCCATGTCTTCCTGTTGATTCTTGAAGCTTAAAAGTACAGACATCTTCTTCTGTTTACCTATTACAAGGGCTTCACACTGATTCTTCATTTGGTCGTAAGGTATGGGTGTAGTGGAAACTGGAAGGCTTGCAACTTCTCTTGCTGTTTCCAATACCTGCTAGGAATACAACATTGCAATGTGAAATGGCTGATCTATTGTATCTCAATCATGAGGTCATGTGTTAGGTATCATCATTCAATGGGTCTTGAAAATAGGGATCTCATGCCAACCAACTCAATTAGTTTAACTTATAATCTGACTGACATAGGAGAATTGCAGAGTGGGATGTAACAGATATGTGGTCCACTTGAACATGTTACTGTGCCATCAGTAAACCATCCTCAGTTTACCTAGGGAAGAACTTTGATGCATCTTCATAACAATGAAATCTAGACAGATTAGCTAAGAGGGTGATACATACTGATTCCAATAGTTGGTTAACACTGAGAATATCAAACGTATTAACGGAGACTGATGTCTTGTGACCTGATTGACTTCCACTTGCTTCAGGGAAAGCTTCTTCATCTGTCAATGCAGCTGGAGGTATAATCTGAAAGAAAAACACAAGCATTTCAGCAAGAATGTTTCACATGTGTAGCCATTTGTAGCATTATAAGGTAATAGAAAATGGAATCAACCTCATCAAAAGCTTGGAAATCAATTTGTGCAAGTGGAGAACATGGCTGTGGTGTTTCCATAAATAGGGGAACTCCCAATGGACATGCATCATCAGGTGAGAACCCTTCTAGGAGTTGCTTCTTAATTGCTGATAACTCATCCTGCAATAAAAAGTGTAGAATGATATTTATTAAACTTACACAAGGTTTAGAGAGGGATGGCCAGACAGGGGGGGGGTCTCTTTTTTTTTGAAGGATAAAAAGGAAAATTTTATTAAAATGAAAAATAAAGGCAGTACATCTCAAAAAGCTGGTTGTCAAGTTGACAAACTAAATACAGCTCAGATCAAACTGTGAAAGAATCAAAATTACAAGGTGCTAAAGTGAGCCGAATAGGAGTAGTTTAGTCATCTTATGTTTGTTAAGTGGTTTGCTTATGTGGCAGTTTTATTAGGACACTCTGCCCCACACTTAAGTAAGGGCAGTTTAGTCTTCGTAAATGTCATTAGAATCTAATAACTATTAAGGGGGTCGACTGAATGGGTAGTCCATCAGATTTTGACAGACCCTTCTTTTCCTTCTTCTTCTTCTCTTCTTCTTCTTCTTCCTTCTCTTCCTGGTTCGGGTTACTGTAGCAGCATTCGAAACATGGTATCAGAGCCATGTTCCTGACCTACTTCAGTTCGTAAAGCATCTCAGCAGAGTTCGTGGCCCTTCTTCCTTCGTTTCTGGTCAGTCAATGGAGAGAACTGGTTCGCCCTAGGTCTGAAACATCACAGCTCGTCTCTCTCTGCTGCGCATAATCTTCTTCATCAAGAAAAKTGACTTCAGCAGTGAATGGTTGGTTGAGACTCTCAAAGGAAGGTCGGTTATCTCTTCCTCTTGTGTTGCTGGTATTTCTGGGTAGAAACCCTTCAAGAATCTGTT